GTAGTTATGTTGCCTTTGCCTAACCGCCAACCCACTGCATCAAGGTCCGACACAAAAGACAGCCCTAGGTGTCATTATAATGATGCAGGAAGCTTATGCTCCAGCGGCAAAATATGACGAATGAGGATGAGATCGCGTTGCCATCACAGTTCAGCCAAAGGAGTAGGGATGGGAATCGAGAACCGGTTCCCATTTAGAACCGGTTCCAACTGGTTCAATTCATCGACATCATTAGCCTTTATGCTTAACGATTCCCTTGTCGATTCTTTTCATTAGGCCGAATCTTTACATCGATGATGCACGTCACGCTCATCAGTCAGCAGTACGTTCAACAACAAAGAAGACGTAATGGTGGAGAGACAGAAGTAGTCGAAAGCGTGACTTCACTTCACCAAAAAAGACTCTTACAGTGCGACATGCAATTTATGCAGCACCATAATTACATGCAAGGGCGGAAACACCACCAACTACGCCTGAACGATAGTATATCTTTTAAGCATCACCATCACGAAGCACACACGTGCAATATTTACATTGCGGGGCTTGCAACATGTGGCTTGCCCTAATTAAATTAAGCATGCATGATTAAATTGCTGAGTGATGCGCATAAAACTCACTTCCGTTTTAATGACTGACCAACAAAATGTGTCTCGTTTAGTGGAATAAAGAATAAACAGCCTATTCCTATTGGAATTTGCTATTTATGTGACAACGCCTGAACGCAACACAGGCTCTGCTCCATAGACTGTGTGTACAGTGCCGTGCTGTAGGTTCGGGCCAGGCTCAGTTATAATTGTCTCGGACTCAGGAAAATGCGGCCCGAGCCGCGCTGTAGTGTGCTCACCTGTGTCTGTGTGTGTGTGTATATGTGTGTGTGTGTGTGTGTGTGCGCATCAGGGACGAACTCGATACAGAGAGACAGAAATGACATGCCGTTGTGTTTTCACGTTGTAAGGTGAAACGTTTCACCGTATAACACGATAAATAGTATAATGTTATGTTATTATATGAAGCGTCCGTCGTGCAAAATAATATAACTTTAGTTTATGAAGAGATAAGACGGAGCCCTCTCCTCTCCTCTTATAAGCTTTACTTACAAGTGTGTGAATTGACCTGGATATGAAGCATCTGTAGCACCAAATAATATAACGGTTGTTACTAAAGAGCTAAGACAAAAACAAAAATCAGCAGTGGCGGTCATATTTTAGCAGTGGTGGTGTGCCGCTGCATATAGGGGAAATACTGAAAGAGATGGTGGTTTCACTGTACAAATGCCTATTCTCAGCACATTTTATGCTGCTGCATTCAATGCAATATCAGCCTAATAATTCCAGAATGATTAATTCTCACCAAGTAGAGCTACTGAAGTCATCTGGTGGAAAATAATGCATCCTTAAAAAATATAAATCACAATATATATCATGTAACGTTATTTGACGTAGATGAAAACAAATGCTGTACAAATATTCTTTCATTTGTTCCATTCTAGATGACAGTGGTGGACCAATTTCATATTTGTTTACTTACACAAGCACTTATCTCTTTATAAGAATAGAAACTCAATAAAATTAGTGTTGTTGACACCGAAAACCTGTAAAGTCTACTTTTTCTACACAGAAAATTCACAGGAGGAATTGATAAGGGAATCGATAAAGAATCGGATCGATAAGCAGAATCGATAATGGCATTGATATCAATAAAATCCTATCAATTCCCATCCCTACAAAGGAGCAATCAATATTTTACACATGCAGTGTCGAGTCCTCTTTGTCAATTCCAATCAGGATTTGAGAGGTGGATGTCAATCTAATCTCACCATGTGGTCCCTACACTGTGGAGTCTGCTGCCATCAATACAGAGCCCTTTCACATAGAGTACCTTTGGGTTTAGCTACAGATAACAACTGTGTGTGTGTGTATGTAGTATACTGAAGTATTTTAATGCACAAGGTCACATGTGAACATCTGATATTGTAAGGACCACAGGACTATAAAAACTACAAGTACTGTACAACAGATGTGCAAAAATAAAAATGAATGTCAGTACAGAAGTCTCACTTTGGGATTCAAAGAGAAGAATTTCTCTGTTTAGTTATGGCTGTGGAATGCAGGCGGTGTGCTTTCATCTTTCTAAATCTCACAGAGAATTCACCTAGATTTCACATCAACTTTTAAGTCCTCACTAGTTCAGTACAGTAGCTTTCTACATATGAATGGCCTTAACTGATCAAAGCAAAATCCTGTCCCCATTACAGTTGCTACGCCCACCAAGCGATCCGTTTTAGCACGGCACATATGTAGTTTACACTGATAACAGAGGCAAATTGTTGTGTCAAAATGATTCCACAGAGGTCGACAAAAGCAAACAACTGTAGACTTTAACGTTAGCTCCATTAACTGGCTGAATATGTTGTGTCCAGCTGACTTTTTAATGTTTCAACCTGGCCTGTTTTAAGATCGGAAAATGACAGTGCATTTCCACAAGATCTGGCGAGAACATTACAGGATGCACTGCTCAAATCAACTGGCTGCTTGATGGGTGTATCCATTGGAAAAGGAAGGTTGGTACCAATGCTCTCCTGGGCTCTATCGTGAAATGAACCTGACTGAATAAACACGCTGCTAGCTGGGCAGTCCCTGGTTCTCTGCTCGTAGATTCAAACAGTAAACAGTAGGGCGGCCTGCTCATAAACTTCCTGTTATTCGGTCTAAACAGTCTACCAAAAATCTATTTCTGAAAACATTTGAGGCGAGAAACAAGACAATGCCTCTGCTGAACCTTGGCTCATTTAAGAACTACACTGCCGAGGTTGAAAGCCTGATCAAAGTTTCATGGTGGTTGATTTGGTTACAGTGCATTACATATCCATTTTTTAATCACGTTAGATGAAGTGTTGGGTGACCATCCCTTGTGTTGCTCTATGGAAGCAGACGTGTTTGATTCTGCGGACAATGAAAACTCAACCTGTTCTGACACAATTGCTAACATGACTAGCGAGCATGCTACAAAGCAGCTACCAAAAGTGTGGACACAATGACTGTGCTAGGGGCAGTGTTGACATTGACATTTGCTGTTCACTTGTGACCGTCCATCCACCCATCCATCCATCCATCCATTTGCAGCCACATATCTGAAGCCGGGTCATGAGGACAGCAGGCTGAGCAAAGTATTTCAGACGTCCCTGGGGCCTCCTACCAGTTCAACGTGCCTGGAACACCTCTAACAGGAGGCACCCATCCTGCTCAGATCCCTAAACCACCTCAACTAATACCTTCTGACGCGGAAGAACAGTGGCTCTACTCCGAGCTACCTCTGGATGCCCAAGCTCCTTATTCTATCTCTGAGGCTGAGCCCAGCCACCCTTCTGAGAAAACTCATTTCATCAGCTTTATCCGCGACCTCATTCTTTCGATCACTACCCAGAGCTCATGACCATAGGTGAAGGTTGGGATGTGGATGGACCAGTAAATCAAAAGCTTTGCCTTCCAGCTCAGAACTCTCTTCACCACTTGCGACCGGATCACCCAAAATGCATGTTCATACCAGGTCTAAACAGGGCCTCTGATATAGTAGCATCTAGGACCGGCTTCCACACAGCATGGAAATACAACACAGTGGATGTGCCATCTGTTTTTTAACTACCCTGTAGCTCAAAAATCAAATTAGTATGAAATGCTTCTTGGCCTTGAAAATAACCCTGTAGCTACAAAGATAGTGAGCCAGAAATGTTACCATTTGCAGCTTATGTTAGACAAACACCCACTTTAATCCATTTCCTTCAATTTTACTCTTTTATTTTTGGATTTGTAAAGGCTAAAAGAAGACACCACCCTCAAAAACTCGAGTATTGCTCTTTCCCCAGCCCAATGCACACTGCGTCATCATGTTGAGAAATCCAATGTTTGGCAGGCCTGCTGTGCCTTGTTACAGTTGCTAAGCTACAGTATGATTGAACAATTGCTATTTAGGAGATGGGTTTTGTGAATGGTCAATTCGTAACAGATTCAGTATGATAAAAATGTTTTGTATGTGTTGCACTTCCAGATATTATTTTTTTCTCACCAGTTTGTTGTAAGAAATTTCACTTTGTCATTTCTTTCCTAATATTGACTGTTCACATATAAATTTAACTGAGCAATTTAACATTTCCAGGTTGCAATTTCTGCACACAGCCTCACCAGGTTATACAGCTGAAGGCTGTGAGAACAAAATTAGCTTTAAAAAGGTAATAAGCCAGCACATTATAACCTTATTGATTCAAAATGCAGCCTACTGTTCTATTATAATTCATGGGATAAATTATTCAAGAGAAATTAATTTGTGTTTTCAACAGAAGAATGAATGGGCTGTTTTCAGTGATGTATCTAGAACTAAATATAAACCAAACCAAAGCTGTGAACTGTTTCACCTAGGATTAAAACAACATGGAAGAAACAACCAAAAGCATTTTGTTTTGATCCACCTAACCCACCTTACACATACTGGCTGAGCCATGTGACCACTTCTACCTCGCAGTCAACATCCAGAAAAGCCAAAGTGATAAATGATTTATGCAGACTCTACGCTAGCACAAGCCACATTAAAAATACAGAATGTACACACAACCATGGAGGACTGTAAACTGGGTTTCCTAAATTTTCCACAAAGGCTTTGTGAGAGTGTTTACACTTCAGTTTAAAGAGTTCTCTGTGGTCTGCCTATTAAGAAATGCGGTGGCTGAAAATAACAACTCCAAAGTGTATATGGGTAAAAATACTGAGCCTCAAATTATATATTTCACACACTTTACAGTGAACAAATAATGAAGGTGACCTGATATCAACCATCACCTTTGTGCACATCAATGTCTTTTCAAATCCAAAATCATCAGTGGAACATAGCTCACCAGAAATGTCAGCCATTATCAACAGAAGCCATTTTAAAAACGCCCTGAGATTTCTGCTGTCTTTCTTTTTTCTTTTGAATTGATAAGAATAGATCAAAAGTGACATTGTGCTGACCTTTTGGTGCTGAACATCTTGGCAGCGTCTTCTTTCTGCTCAGAGGCTTTGCGAAGTCGTGGTTTGATGTTGACTTTTCAAACCTGCAGGAAGCACGCACACAAGGATGAACACACACATACATACAAAGCAAAAAGACAGGGACGGGGGACAGAAGGAGAGAACAGTGAGATTTTCAGCATCACAGTCAGGTCGCCCTCAAGTTGTCTGAATGCCTTGGCCACGCTGACCCTCAACAACCTCCATTAGCTGGCCTCCAACTGAGCGATTCAAATTGACTGGGCATGGCAGGAGGCAATGAGCAGAGCATAACTCAGCCAACATGACAAAGACAATACATGGAGTCAAATGTCAACTTTAATAATCATTTGCTTTACTTCATGACAACAGCACCAATTTAAAGCCGAATGGAATTAATTAGCACTGAAGCTCAACTGGAGCGACGAGGAACAATTAAAATGCAATTAAAAAGGAGGACTATATAAATGCTTGTGTAGGCAAACATGTCACATGCAGGCAATTAAGTGGGACAGTCTCTGAATTGTTAAATCCCCAAACTGACTCTCTCTCTAGATGTCTGTGCTATACCTACCACATTGTATAATGGCTGGGAGTTAAGGTTATCAGAGACTGTGGTGGAGGAGCTGGAGTAAAAGAAGATAGGATTCAATAATTAATGTCTGTGCAGGCCTCACTTCTCACCCTCTCCTGTCTGTAATGAGATGAGTGGAGAGCCAGAGGGAAGGAGGGAAGGAAAGGGAAGGAGAATGGGCTGATTAAAGCGCCCAGCTCGGTCCCATCTACCTTCCTTCCCACCTCCATCAGTTAGACGCACCGACATGCACACGCATACACACCATCTCATTTATAACACTTGGAGCGTGATTCCTCTCTCCTACACAGTGGCAGGGAGCAGGGAGCAGGGAGCAGCTGAATAAGCAGGTGTTAAGGTTAACAAAGTAGTGTGACACTGGAAACATTTGATAATTCATTCAGGTGACAAAGAAACCGTGGATGTACTCAGTTCTGTAAGTAACCTAAGGCAGTGCAACAGCCAATTTTGTGGCTTCTATGATTCACAGACGATAACAGAGGCAAGCAGCCAGAAAAATGTTAGAATACAAAAATTTTAATTTCTTCATATTGTATTTGGCAGAGTTTTACAGACAAAAAACGTCTTAAATACTGCCTGGGGTGAAGATTAACTGTTCTGACACTGCATTACTGTCAAGGTATGACGTGCATTTGATAATGCAATTAGCTGGATTAAGGACTTAAGTAGTCTCCCTGTTGGAAACCAAACAAAACACATATCTCTGATAAGGGCAAAAGCTATTGTCAACAGTTTGTCACCAGTTTCACTTTCCAGCTAGGGTGGCTTCACCACTGTACAAAACATATATTATCAAACTAAAAGTCTACAACCATGTTAGCAGCTCTGTGAGGCTATGGTATATGAATGTTGTATCAAAATCACAATGTGGTATACAAATAGCAGGAACCGCAATTAATATTAACATTTGCATTAACATACTAACATTGGCCATTTGGACATAGACTAAAGCCAGCAGTGATAAGAATGACATTTATTTGCAGTTTAAGATGGTTAGACCAGTAAATTAGCTTTGAGCAAAATGAAAATGCTGTTATACTAACATGCTCCCAGTGACAAAGCTGACATGCTAATGTTTAGTTTGCAATAATAGCCAACTGAGTTTAGCATGTTAACATACTAACATTAGCCAGTTAGACACAGGCTAAAGCCAACGATGATGACATATATTCGCTGTTAGGCCTATGTGGTCAGAAAATATAAGAAAAAATATAATATACAGTACAGGCCAAAAGTTTGGACACACCTTCTCATTCAATGCGTTTTCTTTATTTTCATGACTATTTACATTGTAGATTCTCACTGAAGGCATCAAAACTATGAATGAACACATGTGGAGTTATGTACTTAACAAAAAAAGGTGAAATAACTGAAAACATGTTTTATATTCTAGTTTCTTCAAAATAGCCACCCTTTGCTCTGATTACTGCTTTGCACACTCTTGGCATTCTCTCCATGAGCTTCAAGAGGTAGTCACCTGAAATGGTTTCCACTTCACAGGTGTGCCTTATCAGGGTTAATTAGTGGAATTTCTTGCTTTATCAATGGGGTTGGGACCATCAGTTGTGTTGTGCAGAAGTCAGGTTAATACACAGCCGACAGCCCTATTGGACAACTGTTAAAATTCATATTATAGCAAGAACCAATCAGCTAACTAAAGAAAAACCAGTGGCCATCATTACTTTAAGAAATGAAGGTCAGTCAGTCCGGAAAATTGCAAAAACTTTAAATGTGTCCCCAAGTGGAGTCGCAGAAACCATCAAGCGCTACAACAAAACTGGCACACATGAGGACCGACCCAGGAAAGGAAGACCAAGAGTCACCTCTGCTTCTGAGGATAAGTTCATCCGAGTCACCAGCCTCAGAAATGGCAAGTTAACAGCAGCTCAGATCAGAGACCAGATGAATGCCACACAGAGTTCTAGCAGCAGACCCATCTCTAGAACAACTGTTAAGAGGAGACTGCGCCAATCAGGCCTTCATGGTCAAATAGCTGCTAGGAAACCACTGCTAAGAAGAGGCAACAAGCAGAAGAGATTTGTTTGGGCCAAGAAACACAAGGAATGGACATTAGACCAGTGGAAATCTGTGCTTTGGTCTGATGAGTCCAAATTTGAGATCTTTGGTTCCAACCGCCGTGTCTTTGTGAGACGCAGAAAAGGTGAACGGATGGATTCCACATGCCTGGTTCCCACTGTGAAGCATGGAGGAGGAGGTGTGATGGTGTGGGGGTGTTTTGCTGGTGACACTGTTGGGGATTTATTCAAAATTGAAGGCACACTGAACCAGCATGGCTACCACAGCATCCTGCAGCGACATGCCATCCCATCCGGTTTGCGTTTAGTTGGACCATCATTTATTTTTCAACAGGACAATGACCCCAAACACACCTCCAGGCTGTGTAAGGGCTATTTGACCAAGAAGGAGAGTGATGGAGTGCTGCGGCAGATGACCTGGCCTCCACAGTCACCGGACCTGAACCCAATCGAGATGGTTTGGGGTGAGCTGGACCGCAGAGTGAAGGCAAAGGGGCCAACAAGTGCTAAACACCTCTGGGAACTCCTTCAAGACTGTTGGAAAACCATTTCAGGTGACTACCTCTTGAAGCTCATGGAGAGAATGCCAAGAGTGTGCAAAGCAGTAATCAGAGCAAAGGGTGGCTATTTTGAAGAAACTAGAATATAAAACATGTTTTCAGTTATTTCACCTTTTTTTGTTAAGTACATAACTCCACATGTGTTCATTCATAGTTTTGATGCCTTCAGTGAGAATCTACAATGTAAATAGTCATGAAAATAAAGAAAACACATTGAATGAGAAGGTGTGTCCAAACTTTTGGCCTGTACTGTATAATATAGAAAAAAATAAAAATTTGATGTAAAAAGTGCACTGCTAACAATTGTTTGCAGACTAGCTAACATAAGCCAATTGCTGCTGCAACAGCATGAAAACATACCTGCAAATGTCACTTTGGTCCCTTTGGATGCCAGTGTGGTCCTGACTTTTCAATACCAACATTTCAACAACACACTGTCTGACAGAGTTTGTTTACTTTTTCACTTGTCCCCCTGAGGGAGAGCCTTCCTAATAATAATCCGAAAATCATAATACATTATAAAATCACCGACATCATGCAAAAAAGAATGACTAAATGTAATCCGTTCAGTTGGACTTAAAACCACAAATGCAGCCTCCTGGTGGCACCAGAGAAAAAGTCAGGGGATCACCAAAGTTATTAGGATATATCCAAGCGGCAACCTCCATGACGAGTGAAGCCAATGCGTAAGTGCCAAAAAACTGCAGTACGTTGAATGGCCATTTGAGGCAGGCTCCAAAAGCTAGTCAATCCCCATCAGGGGTCGCGTTAACCGGATATTCTCGGTCATTGACTGTTTTTTTTACAACAATGACCGGAAAATCTGAATGCTGTCCGTCATTTTGACCGGTTGCAATTACCACCCCTGCCCACTTGGTGGCGGAGTGCACAGTCAGTGGTTTAAGTGGCTGCCGTTTTCACACTGCAGAGAAGTCATTCATCTGCTTCATGTAGCATTGTTGACATAACGGCCTGGACACACTGGACGCGTTAGTGCCGCCGAAGTCCAGCAAGTATACTCGCAGGCACTTGACTGTCGACACCACAGGCAGCGCATTTCTCCTGCGCTCGACTCCACTCGTCTGTTCCATTTTTTCACTTCAACAGGTCATTTTAAACATGGGTAAGTCCATATTTCAATCGTTTTTTATAACGTAATAAGTTAATGACAATTTGTCATTGCATGTCCATGTATTGAGCGTGTTGGATAAATACTGAATGAAGAGGGCATATTGTTCTGACCATTTTATTTATGTAGTCTGTAGGCTCGGTGACACAAAATTAAAATTGTAATGAAGTGATTAGGGTATTGAAAAATGTGTTCGGTTATGCACTGTTGTGTTATTTTAAATTATAAACACGGTATTTTCTCCTCACGTTCCTCAGTGCGAGCTGTTATTTTATTTTGAAAATTGGCCGGATTCTCTCGTCTTTTCTGTGTCTGACTTCCTGTTTGGTACGATCCGCTCTATCCAGCTTGACAGAAGCGCTTGCGGCACGGGTGTGTGGATGTCTGTTCTTTTCGTTCATGTCCTTATTAATGCACACTTCATAACTTGCTTGTTGGATTTATTAAAAACAAACGAATGAAAACTAAATGTCTTTGAATATCTTTATTATCATTTAAAAACAAAAATTAAAATGACCGGTAAATATAGATTATGACCGGATTTTTACGACCCTGTCGGTCAAAATGACTGGCGACGAAAAAGTCTAGCACAACCTCTGATCCCCATAGACCCCCATGTTAAAATGCTAAACTTTACAGCACAAATAAACATATTTACTGCCTGGTACAAAAAAACGTTTTTAGTCTCTATAGCTAATTTCCCCTTTCATGACAACTGTACAGGGGGTGAATTTTTTTTATAACT